CCCTGGGATCATGACCTGAGCCGAAGGCAGATGCTTAACAACTGAGCCACCCAGGTGCCCCAATAGTGTAATTTTCTTAACATAAAAAATGTATTGGTTGTCTATTTCCAAATTTTAAGAGTAAGGGAAACAATATTAGAAGGATGAAAGAGTAGAAGATAGTTTAGTGGTTTAAATTTTAGTGGTCTAAAATTAAAATTAATTATTTGAAGTTGATTTGCTTTTAATTTTTTTGTATGTGAGTTAAAATTTCTTTATTAACTTCTCTAAGCAAGATAATTATGAGATTGGAGCATCAGAAGGAGGCTTCCTGATTTAATGACAGGGAAAACCAAGTTGATAAATCTGTTAGAATCTATAAAGTTCAGCAAAGTTGCCAATGTAAGAACAATTTAGAAAAATCAGTAGCATTTCTTTACACTGTCAGTGACCAAAATATAAGCAATAAGACTCACAATTGCAACAAAACATCAGCATAAACAGTTTTTCCATGATTTCAGTGATGTAATACTGCTTTGAATTACCTATAAATCCAGTCTTAAAAAGCACTTTTTACTAGACTCTTTTAGTAATAATATTAGAAACATGGATGCTCTGTGGTTCTTCCCTTGAAAGTACATTGCCATATTGCCCAAATAGGCAAAAACATTTTTTAATTACATAAAGGACATTGTCATTTCCTTTAGGTAAATCCAGAAAAAAACTTCAGCTTTAAAATGGCATGAACTTCTTTGTAAACTAATATAAATGATATTTATGAATTCAGGAGCTTTAAAAGTATTGCTGATAGCTAGTGTTTATGATTGATCGAGAATAGAATTTAACTTTGGGTAAAAGGGATTTGGCACTTGATTCTGTACCTGTTTTCTAAAATTATTAAAATTTTCTAGTGGTATGTTAGTGTTATAACTTAAGAGATTTATTTTCCTGAAGAACTAACTTGATATTTTATGAATTAGCAGCTACAAATTTTTAATATAAAAGACATGCTATCCTTCTGCAAGTGTTAGTGTACTAAACCTCCACTATGTGACGAGTTATTTTAAGCAATGGAAATATTGTGATATTAATACAAACAAAATCCTGAAGAAACATATTTCTAATGGAAAGAAATTTTTTTACACATTGCAAGCTAATATTACACTTTAATTTACGGCTTATCATTCAAAATAGCAAAAAAAACCTTTTCTTTGAAACAGAATATTCAGGAAAGAAAAACTAATCCATTCCAACACTTTAATACTAAACATCATTAAGGAAATCCAGAGATAAAACTTGACATTTCTCTTTGTAGGCTCTATAGGAAGCATTTTATCAATGTCAAAAGTTTTTTAAAATTTGTTAAAAAACTTTTTTCTTGTTTTGCTCATTTAATGGTTACTGATACTTTAGATTAAAATAATTTAATTTAGAGGCTACTGTTTTTCAAGGTAAAATATAAGCAGCATAATTGTTTTGAAGACCCATTTTTGTTTAAACCTAAAGCCACTGTTATTTTCAGCAATCCAATACAAAGTCTGTCAGTTGTTTTCTTCTGTATCATTTACTAGTGTTTGTATTTGACTGAGTTTTGATTTCTAAGATTCTTATCTATATAGAGATAAATCATTATCCTGCTTTATAATTTAATACATTTAATTTTTGTCAATTTAAAAAATTATTTGATGAATATATGACATATATTATTCAGGATACTTAGAACACGGACTAATTTTTGCCCTCAAATCCCACCTCTCAACTTTCTAGCTGTGTAACCTCAGACGAGTCACTTAAATAGTTTCTTCATTTATAGAATGGGGACAACAACACCTACTTCACAGTGTTGTTGTGAGGATTAAATGAGTTAATATATGTAAGATCTTGTAACAGTGCCTAGCATGTAGAAAAGACTATATGGTTTAGCTATCATTTAGTCTTTTTGTCCTTAACAGAATGCAGGTGTACAGGCATTTCTTTAAATTTAAGGCTTGCTCAAGTCAGTTATGCTTAAGTGCTGACATTGGTTTCCTGTCAGCAATTATTTTCTTCTTTGATGTTATACAGTTACTATTCTTATATGCCCATGTAAGAACTATATTTAAAGCTTAAATATTGTTTTTTTGTTTAAATTTAAACTTAAGTTCTCAAGCAGTGCATTATTGGTAGAAAAATACATAAATATTTTTAAAGCTCTTGTCTTCTTAAACTTGCATGAAAGTATTGGATATTCATATGTGATAAAAAAAAGTTTAGAGAAAAAACAGACTGAAATAGTGGTTAAATTTTCTAATTATGCAAGGTGAGGACTGGGTTGAGAAGAAATTCTTAAAGAGAACTTCACAGTAATCTTTACTGGCTTGTTTAGAATAGAAAAATTATGAAATGTCAATAAAGGAACTTAAAATTTAAAAACTAATATTCTACTTTTCTGAAGTTCACATATTTGCTAGAATCATAACATTACTTTTTTTTTTTTAAGATTTTTATTTATTTGACAGAGCATAAGCAGGGGAGCGGCAGGCAGAGGGAGAGAGAGAAGCAGGCTCCCCACTGAGTAAGGAGCTTGACCTGGGAGGACCCTGAGATCATGGCCTGAGCAGAAGTCCAACGCTTAACTGACTGAGCCACCCAGGCGCCCCATAACATTAGCTTTTAATAAGGTTTTAAATTTTTGATTTTGAATTGGAGCAGATAAAGTCTCAACTATATAATTTTTAAGAATTTTTATAGAAAATTAGATAGTTTTTATCCTTTGCTAAGTCCTATTAGGATATTTTGTGGAAATAAACTTGGAGTGCATTTTAAAAATAATCTCTGTCCTCTAGGCCGAGGTTCTTTTTTTTTTTTTTTTTAAGATTTTATTCATTTATTTGACAGAGAGAGAGACAGTGAGAGAGGGAACATAAGCAGGGGGAGTGGGAAAGGGAGAAGCAGGCTTCCCGCGGAGCAGGGAGCCCAATGCGGGCCTCGATCCCAGGACCCTGGGACCTGAACCAAAGGCAGATGCTTAACGACTGAGCCACCCAGGCTCCCCTAGGCAGAGGTTCTTATGATCTCTTATGGAAGATAAAATAAAACCAAAATACTTACATTCGTTAAGACAGACAAAGAAGCATTAGTTATCTGCCGCAGTAATAAATAATGGGATTACATGCCTAAATGTTTAGTTTCTGAGGAAATGTTTCACTTTTCATTTAAAAGAATTTCTAAATGGAGTGTGTGAAGAAGAAGCCAGTGTCATTTTTAGAATATTCCCCTCAACTTAATGATAAAATAAATTAATTGTCTTAACTTCTGGCGGTATTGTGTATTTGACCTGTGCTTGGAATCTAAATGTATATCTTCAGGAATATAGTGGAATCTTATCATAATACAAACTTCCCTTGTTCTGATCTATGTATAAAGTGACTCCTTGTGGACCTCGTACAAAGAGGTTGATACGGATAAAATAGCAGAAGGACCAGTCTCGCTTTTTATTCATAGCATGAATCCCCAAAATATTTTGAATTACTGTCCCCATTTTATAAATGAGAACACTGGTCTCAGAGTCTGGAGTAAGAAAACTTTAGTTCTGGACCTAGCACCATCAATAAGTTAATTTGTGATCCTGGATAAGTCACTGTTTTACTCTGGATCTAAATCTTCTCATTTTCCGTTACTGCTTTATAAGCGTAATGATTAATAACATCTGACTTTTTGACTCTTTGTCCTTTTTTCATTATATTTTGCTGGCTTACAAACAAATTTTTTTAACTTATTTCTTGGTAAAGGCCAAGATGGATACAGGCACTGTATTTTAATTCTAATATTTCTAATTTGCATATATCTGTAGTTTAGTAGTATTTCAACTTGTGATTTTCAATTTCATAAATAATTTTGAGGATTTCCCATACACTTAGCAGCGAAAGCAATGCAGTGACATGGAACACTAAGCCTGCTTCTCATACTTTATGGTTTCACCTCTTTGGGCCTCCATTTCCTCAGTAAGAGAATTAAATTAGATAATCGGTGATGTCCATTTTGACTCTAAAATTTGTGATTCTTAGAGATGTAAGAAGACATAGATACGTTTGGTTTTTTATGATTTTATTTAGAGAGAGTGTGCATGCATGCCCGAGCAGGGGGAAGGATGGAGGGAAGAATCCCAAGCTGACTCCCTGCTGAGCATGGAGCCCAATGTAGGCTCGGTCCCAGGACCCTGAGATCATGACCTGAGCTGAAATCGAGAGTTGGACACTTAACCTACTGAGCCACTCAGGTACCCCAGAAGACCTAGATACAGTTTTTAAGTTTGATATTTGTTTAATGGTAAGGGCCAATGATAGGCAGAGAAGGTTTCTTCCTAGTAGATTAAATGGTGTTTGTAAGAAGTGGAAAAAAAAACCCCACAATGTAACACTGTATTTTATTTGATAGGGTAAATAGATATTAATGCTATAAAAAATAAAGTAAAACAGCTCAGTAGAACAGATAAATAGTTTCCTAACAAAGAGAACTTTGGAAGAGGGTGGAGATTTCCATTTGTAATATGCGATCAAACAAATACGCAAGATTTGAAGAAAAGATGCCTCTTGCGTGGTAAGGAAGAAATGAGAATTTATGAGACCCTTTAAGATTCTATAGCAGAATAGTTAAATCAGCTTTCTGTGTTCAGATCTACTTTTTCTGCTTGGAACTTAAACAGGAAAAATTGAATAGCAAGTTTAAATTGCTTTATTTATTGGCACAGCTCTATCTTTAACTGCACTTCCAAATGTTTCATCACCTCACTGTTACTATGCATGTTAACATTTTAAAATGTATTCTGATAGTTTTCTAATTCACTACATGCTATATTGGCTTGTGCCCATCATTATTTAAAAACAGATTTCTATTTTTAATAGATTTTATTTCATTGAGCTTACCAAAAAATCACAGAATTTTTTTTTACTTTAAGCATATGCTTAGGGTATGGTTGAAATTAATACTATTTTTTTCATGTTCATATAGTTCCTACTCTTCATAATTTTTCTTTTTTACAGATATTGATGATGCTCAAATACTTCCCCGCCCAACTAGAGTCAGACATTTTTCACAAAGTGAAGACACTGGAAATGAAGTTTTTGGTGCTTTGAATGAGGAGCCGCCATTGCCTCGAAGTAGCAGCACTTCTGACATCTTGGAACCATTCACTGTTGAACGAGCCAAAGGTGCAGTTCCTGTCATTGACAGTTCATCCCGTCATGCACCAAGCTTGCAGAGTTCCACAGAGGCTTCTTCAATAACTAGATCCACTGAAAGCCACATCACTGATACTCATAGTAGAGAGTCTTCTCTGGAAGTTGGTGATAGCATATATGACCATCTTTGTCACTTAATAGATCCAGTAGAACTTGCAGATTCAGCTTTTGAACAAATCCAGTACATTGACCTTGAAGGAGATGACGATCTTCTTTCCTCCCTGAAAGAATATTTTAAGGAAAACCAGGAAAATCATAGTAAAAATGAGTTAGGTAAAGATGCAGCTTCTGAGGAAGTGATTATTGCAGTAAATAAGGATGAACGATCATCTTTAGATAAATTAGAATACATAGACCAAGAAAGTAAATCAGAAAATACTGCCTCTTTTGTTGGGACTCCTGAAAACATTCAGTTTCAAAAAGAACCAAACTCAGCTGTCTTCATGGGTAGTATTGCACCTAACCAGTTAGACAGTTTTGTGAGAACAAAAAGTGATGAAAAATCTAAGGAACTAAACAGTGATAAACTATCATCAGAACCTAATTCAGGTAGCCCTTGTGATAAAGAAAAAAGGAAGCACCTGTATAGACAGCCAGCCACAGAATTAGATGCCTGTGTAGATATAACACTAGTCGAAAAGGTTAAGGGTGTGCAAATTAATGAAAAAATCACTGTCCCACATGTTATGCATGCCAAGAAAACTACACTAAAAACACCTGTTAACCATAGACTGCCTCATGTTACAAACACTAGCAAGCTTTCTCCAACTAAAAGGAGCTTGTCTGAAACAGTAACTCATAGAGCCAAAATCATGAAAATTGGTACTAAAAAACGAAATACTGTTCATGTTACTTTTAGACCATCTACTGAGTCAGTTCAGTTTTATAATCCTCTGGAAAACAAAGAGGCCCCATGGAAGATGAGACTGCGGAGACTTGGTGGCTTTAGTAGTAGTAGTAGTAGTAGTAATAGCAGCACTAGCGGCGCCAGCAACCCCCATACCGGCTCAGATAGTTTTACAGAGTTAGTAAAACCTGGTGTGTACAGGCCTCTAGATACAGTTGGTACAGCATCAGTAAGTAAAACAATGAAGGAATCTACAGAGATTCCCACCACGACATTACCAAAAGAAGGAATTGCAAGTAATCAGTTAGGTAGCCGTAGTACTCTTAGGTCATCAAGTCATGAGGCAGGACTACCGCAGGGCTCCCTGGGTGGCGTTTATAAAACTGTTGTCCATGCTCTTTCGAAGCCGAAGGCAAATGTTTCCCCACAGAGGCAGAACAGAATGCCACCAGAGGCTCCACTGAGGGATCTGTACAGTCATGTAATGGGCTATTTTGGAAGGAAAGCTGCAGGTGAGCACTAATAGTGTGCAGAGCGCAAAAGGAGAAAGACAGCACCAGTTTGGCTTAATGCAACTGAAGCAAGCTATAAGCAATCAAAAAGCTTTGGGATGGTCACTGCTTTCTCTCTGTTTGGTTATGCATGCGCCTTTTCCCAGCTGTATTTTTCCCAGCATAAAATGTTTATTTAAATTACTAATTTCCCTTATAAGGCATTTAGTTAAACCTCTTTGCTGCTGAACAAGATAGGAAAGAGGAGGATACAAGAAAATTTTAGTGACCTTTCAGAGGCTATCGAAATCAGATATCTTTCTGAGTATGTACTACATGAGCCATGAAATTAAGTTTAGTAGGTAGTTGGAATACTTTCTCCCCCTGCCCCCTTATAGTTTATATTGAAGAGGGTACTGGCTATGTCTAATTGAGTTCATTATTTTTATTGCTGATTTAGTTTTATCTTTTTTCTTGGAAGAAAATTATTTTGATATTATGTAACATAATGGAAATCAAGGTCCTACAACCAGCACCAACATTTTTAGTTATCACTGAAGGAGAAATTATTTCTTAAATCTCAAAGTGGATTTAGTTACTTTTCATGTAAGCCATTTCAAAACAAGTTGTAGGCTTTTTAGTTTTGCATTCATTTGTATAGAATGCAAGTCCTTAAAACACTTACCAGTACTTTTCTTTTTTTCTGAGATTTTAGATGTGCATAAAGGTTTCATGATAGCCAATCATGATTTAAATATGGAACCTCTATGGACAGATTACAGAAAGCAAGATTATGGTAACTGTCTTCTCTTATCTTGATTCAAATTTAAAATAACTTTACAGATATAGAAAATAAACTTTCAGCAGTAAGGTAGGTTTTGATTTTGTTTGTTTAACATGGTTTTGTTAGCATGATTAACAGAATGCTGTATAATGCATCTTGCATTGAGCCATTAATGCCACTTGAGGGCAGTATTCGACAGCTTAGCAAAGCCTGGCCAGTAATATAAAGATAATGGTATTTCACAGTGAACTCTTGACCAGTGTAATTTTCTTAACCTGAAATGCTTTTTAGTTCATTGGGAATATAAGCAATGCTGGTTTTCTTTTAATTGCAGAGAAATTAACTTTTCAACAGCATAATAGTAAAATAAATATCTTATGTTCTATAAGTTTTTCTCCCAAGTTTAAAACTTTCTTGTTAATGTAGTCATAAAGAAATCAGAATAACTCTTTGGGTTTTCTTTTTACAGAAAAACCTTTGTGAGAATAAACCTCTTTTTTCTTAAAGCAATAACATTAAGACTTTGTAGTGAACAGAAATGACATGATGTCACAATTAGAGATTTTTTATTTATCTAAACCTAAATGCGTTTGTATCCCACTGAGATGTACATAGATTCAAGGGATAGATTCCTTGTAAATATTCCTTGGAAGAATGGAATTCTAAGTTATTAAGGCTCTAAATAGAAGCATAGAGGCAGGAAGAAAGATAAATATACCAGTTTCTTTATAGGCAATATTAACCTAACTCCAACTAGTGCTTATCTATAAGCTTTCTTGCTGTTTAAGGTTATACTGAAGATTGACTAACATCTGCTTAGTTAAAATAAATACCAATTTACTAATTCCTAAAATTAAATCTAAAAGGAGAGAAATTATTCATAAATGCATGTTTGGCAAATAATTGATATGGCATAGGTGATTTGTTTTGGGTTGTTTTTGTTTGTTTCAAATTCAGGAAATGCAGTTAAGTCTTTTCTCACTATATATAGTTATTTATTTATTTTTAGTCAATAAAGAGGACATGAGCCCAAAACTGCCCCCTCTTAATAGTGATATTGGCAGCAGCAATGCTAATGTTCCTGATCTGATGGATGAGTTTATAGCAGAACGACTTCGAAGTGGTAATGCCTCAGTAAGTGTTGTTTTATTTTATTTATTTGATTTAGCAAGGAGACTAGAGAAGCTAAAAGATAAATACCTGTGCGTGTGTGTTTGTAAATTTTTATTCAAAATAATCTTCCTCTAAAACTTACCCCTTTTTTGAATTAAGATTTTAAATTATACTTTTACAGTATTTTTTATTTAAAGACATAAAACAAATAGGCTTATAATTTTGACCAGGGTAAAAGATTAGAATACCTATTTGTTTAACCACTTAGGTATAACCCCTACCTTCCGAGTCTTCCCTCTCTGTTTCGTCTTTGCTCATAGGTTACCTTCCTGCCCACTGCTGACCCTTAGCAAGAAAGATAACAAGAGAGGTCTTCTGACCCAACTCCCATAAGTTTGATAACATAAATATTGATTGCTTATTCATTACAGATAACTTCAGAATAGATTTTAAAGTTACCTTTGTTTTATTAGAATTATGGCAGAATGAAAATAGAAGGAATTTTACCCCTAATAATGCTTTTAATTGTTAAGGAAAGGTAAATATATGTGGAATTGCTTTTTTTAAATGGTCACATTCCACTGGATTTTTTAAAAAAGGTTTTTATTTAGGGGGGCGGAGGTGCAAAGGGAGGAGAGAGAGAATCTCAAACAGACTCTCCACTGACCACAGAGCCCAGCACGGAGCTCAATTCCGGGATCTTGAGATCATGACATGAGCCAAAATCAAGAGTCATTTGCTCAACGAACTGAGCCACTCAGGGGCCCCTCCATTTGGATTTGAACTTGTGAATGTCTGTAACTCCATTACATTTACCTTTTATTTTTAGTTTAGTTTTTTCCCTTGAATGGGAAAAAATAATAGAATCATTATATATAATCATTATAGAATAACTTCTTTGCCATCATTCTGTCCTCCCTCCACTATCTCTACTATTTGCTGCTGCTTTTTCCATTTGAATACTTCGCTCTTTCTACTCTCTTAACTTCAATCCTTTTGAGGCTTAAAGAGTCTTAGGCCCAACACCATTTCATAACTGGATCTCTACTTTAGACAAACCAACAGTAATTCAGGTTATGGCTCCATACAGTTACATAGATTGTTCGGTTTTACCTCCTCCTACTTCAGACCCTAAATCTCAACGTTTATTGTGGTAATTGTCTTGGAAACTCAAGATTTCAGATGTTTAATGAGAATAAGTTTTTTTAATAGTAAGATGTTTCTTGAATTTTTAGACTATGACAAGAAGAGGAAGTAGTCCAGGCAGTCTTGAAATTCCCAAAGACCTCCCCGATATTCTAAATAAGCAAAACCAAATGCGCCCTGTTGATGACCCAGGTGTGCCCTCTGAATGGACTTCTCCTGCCAGTGCAGGGAGCAGTGATCTTATCAGCTCAGATAGTCATTCGGATTCTTTCAGCGCTTTCCAATATGATGGCCGAAAATTTGACAGCAAGTATCTTTTCCTATTTGAGCAATATGTGTTTTTTTTGGTTGATTGTTTTCTGTTTGAGACTGACTTATGGATTATGTAACCATCACCTTCCTCTCTAATGTTACTAGACAAGGGTTCCCACGTATTTTGATTTCATTTTTCAGTGAAATTCCAAAGGAAGTTTTAGGGAATTCAAGTCAGGACCACTTTATTTCACCAAACTAAAGCCCCTGAAAAAACAAAAACCACTGTCCTTTCATAAAACAAATGATATTTTAAGACCAAACATAAAGAAAGGAAAAAAAAAATTAGAGCGGACTTGACATTAGAATAAAGAACAGTCATAGCTGTGAGTTGGTGATTTGGGAACCACTATCTAGTTAAGTTCAGTGCTTCAGTATGTTCGGTACAGTTATGTTCAATGTTCCATTACCCAGAGCTTTTCTTGAATAATCACTTCATGTTAAAATGACAGCATTGATATTATTTGGTGCTGTATCACTCCCACATAGCTTTTCTGCTATAATTCTATAATAATTACACTTGGCAGTGAAGAGTACCAAAATTTAAAAAAAGAACATGAAAACCTTGGGAACCAAGTTAGTGAAGAGCTGGGAGATGCATTAGAGAAACATGTTTACTGCTTTCATGGATTATATACTACTTTGATCTCAGAACGGAATATATGATTTAAGACAAAAATGGTTTTTACCACATATGTGCCATTTTTATTATATATACCTGTGCTAGAGATTATAAAGTTCTTGAAAAGCATATTACCAGCCATCAGAAAACCTGGATAAGAATTGTGATGATACATCATATGTGTCTGTTTTTTGTTTTTATTGTTGTTAGTAATAAGCTATGAGAACCTTTAAAAATGTGTTTCTAATTATAAACTGCAAACAGTTAACATTATTTGCACTTGTCTGAGTGGTATATAAATAGAATAGATTTAAGGGGAATGTTAATGTTTAATCGTTTCGCTGAAGTAGCTTTGTCTCTTTTTTTTAAAGATTTTATTTATTTGAGAGAGGGAGAGGAGAGAGCACGAATGGGGGGGGCAGGGGCAGAGGGGGAAGTGGACTTCCTGCTGAGCAGGGAGCCTGACTCAGGGCTTGATCCCAGGACCCAGGGATCATGACCTGAGCCTAAGGCAGATGCTTAACTGACTGAGCCACCCAGGCGCCCTGCATTGTCTCTTTTGTAAATACTTTTGTTTTGTAGTTGAGACTTCTGTGTACTAGCATTTCTTCTTCCTTTAGATTTTGGCTTTGGAGCTGATGCTGGGATTACATCCTCTGCTGATGTGGATTCAGGTTCTGGCCATCATCAGAATGCTGAAGAACAGGAAGTGGCTAGTCTAACCACACTTCAGATAGATTCTGAAACAAGCAGTCTTAATCAGCAAGCTTTCTCCGCTGAAGTTGCAACGGTTACTGGTAAAGTTACTCAAGGGAATGTCTTCTTAAGTGCATTTTTTAAGCCACCAAAGAATCTGTTTAGGATTTTATTTGATAGGTTTTAAGTATTACTTATTAGAATTTAAGTATTATGTTTTCATTCATCTGTATGTAACAATGGAGGGAAAAAATGCATTAATATAAGAGTTTCTTAACCTGGAGTCTACTTGGTAAGTTTCAGCGGACTAGCTGAACTCCTAATATTGTGTACAAAATTGTATATATGTTTCCATCACTGCATTTCCTGTAGCAATTTTTAAATAGATAACCAAAAAATAGTTGAGAAGTACTATCTTCTTTTCACTGTCTTTCAGTCAGCCCAGATTTTTATAGATTTTTGACAAAATATTTATTATAGAAACTGTAGAGAATACTGCCTAATGGAAGGCCTATTTATCAATATACTGATATTCTATATTTATACAGTAAATTATGCTTTTCAGGAAATTTTTTATGTGGTCAAATATATGATGAGTGAGATCTAAGAAATTCAGTCCTGAAATGCAGGGTCACATTATTGTAAGATTTGGGTAGTGACCAGAGGGATCCTGAGCAGCTAGTAGCCCATAGATGAGGGGTTTCACTGTATGATCCAAATTTACTCTGTTAAATTTTTTTTTAGCTTTTACTTTTTTATTTGAGAGAGAGTGAGAGAGCACGAGCCGGGGACAGGGTCGAAGGGAGAGAGAAGCAGACTCCCTGCTTGAGCAGGGAGCCTGAGGCAGGACTCAATCCCAGGACCCCAGGATCCTGACCTGAGCCATCCAGGCACCCCTAGAAGTTTTTACTTCTTAATTCTCCCATTCCACATCACCCTCCCCTTTGTCATGACAACCACCGGTCAGTTCTCCGTATCTGTGGGTCTGGGTTTTGTTTTGTTTTTTTTTTTAGATTCCACATATAAATGAAATCATATGGTATTTGTCTTTTTCTGTCTAACTTATTTCACTTAGCATAATACCCTTCAGGTCCATCCATGTTGTCACAAATGGCAAGATTTCAATAGTATTCCATTGTGTATAAAAACCACATCTTCTTTATCCATTCATCCTTCAGTGGACACTTAGGTTGCTTCCATACCTTGGCTATTGTAAATAATGCTGCAGCAAACACAGGGATGCAAATACCTCTTTGAATTATTGTTTTTGTTTTCTTTAGATATATACCCAGTAGTGGAATTACTAGATCATATGGTAGTTCTGTTTTTAATTTTTTGAGGAACCTCTGTGCTGTTTGTTCCAGATTTGCATTCCCACCAACAGTGCACAAGGATTTCCTTCTCTCCACTTCCTCACCAACACTTGTTATTTTTTTATCTTTCTGATAATAGTCATTTTGACAGGTGTAAGGTGATATCTCGTTGTGGTTTTGATTGACATTTCCCTAATGTTTAGTGATGTTGAGCATCTTTTCATGTGCCTCTTGGCACATCTCTGTGTCTTCTGAAAAATATTCAGATCCTTTGCCCATTTTTTAATTGGATTGTTTTTTGTTATTGAGTTATAGGAGTTCTTTATATATTTTATATATTATATATTTATTGAGTTCTATGGATCTTTATGTATTTATATATTTTTTATATATTTCTTCATATATATTCATTTATATATTACATATTTATTGAGTTCTATGGATCTTTATATATATTTCTTCATATAAATAGGCCCTTATCCAGATATATGATTTGGAAATACCTGCTTCAATTTAGTAGGTTCCCTTTTTGTTTTGTTGATGGTTTTCTTCACTGTGCAGAGGCTTTTTAGTTTGATACAGTCCCACTTGTTTTTGTTTTTGCTTTTGTTTCCCTTGCCTGAAGAGACATCTAAAAAATATCACTAAGACCAATGTGAAGGAGCTTACTGCCTGTGTTTTCTTCTAGGAGTTTTATGTTTTCAGGTCTTCAATCCATTTTGAGTTGATTTTTGTGTATGATATAAGATAGTGGTCCAGTTTTATCCTTTCACATATAGCTGTCCAGTTTTCCCAATACCATTTATTGAGGAGAATATCCTTTCTCCATTGTATATTTTACCCTCCTTTATTGTAAATTAATTGACCATATATGCATGGGTTTTTTCTAGGCTCTCTGTTCTGTTGATCTCTGTGTCTGTTTTTATACCAATAGCACATTGTTTGAATTACTACAGCTTTGTAGTATAATTTGAAATAGGGAACAGGATACCTCCAGCTTTGTTTTTCTAAAAATTTGTTTTGGCTGTTTAGTCTTTTGTTGTTCCATACAAATTTTAAAATTATTTGTTCTAGTTCTGTGAAAAATGCTATTGGTGTTTTGATAGGAATTGCATTGAACCTGTACATTGTATTGGGTGGTATGGACATTTTAACAATATTAATTCTTCCAACTCATGAGCATGGAATATCTTTCCATCTATTTGTGTCTTCTTCAGTTTCTTTAATCAGTGTCTCATAGTTTTCACTGTATAGATCTTTCACCTCCTTGGTTAAATTTATTCCTAGGTATTTTATTCTTTTTGATATTATAAATGGGATTGTTTATGGTTCATTATTAGTGTACAGAAACACAGCAGAGTTTTTACGTATTAATTTTGTATACTGCAGTTTTACTAAATTCATTTATTTTAACAGTTTTTTGGTGGAATCTTCAAGGTTTTCTATATGTAGTATCATGTGGTCAGCATATAGTGATAGTTTTAATTCTTCCTTTCCAATTTGTCTACCTATTATTTCTTTTTCTTAACCTAATTGCTGTAGCTAGGACTTCCAATACTATGTTGAATAAAAGTGGGGATAGTGGGCAAGCTTTCAAGTTTATTATTGAATATGATATTAGATGCTGGTTTGTCATATATGGCCTTTATTATTATATTGAGGTACATTCCCTTTATACCCAGCTTGTTGAGACTTTTTATCATAAATGGGTGTTGAATTTTGTCAAACACTTTCTGCATCTAGTGAAATAATCATGATTTTTATCTTTCCTTTTGTTAATGTGGTGTAGCACATTGGTTGATTTGTGGATGTTGAACCATCTTTGTCTCCCTGGAATAAATCCCACTTGATCATGGTATATGATTGTTTTTATGTGTTGTTGAACTCAGTTTGCTAATATTTTGTTGAGGATTTTTACATCCATTTTCATTAGGGATATTGGCCTCTAATTTTCTTTTGTGGTGTTTTGGTATGAGCGTAACACTGGCCTCATAAAATGAGTTTGGAAGTTTTCCTATCTTTGATTTTTTGGAAGAGTTTGAGAGGGATAGGTGTTCAGACTTATTTTTTTTTTTTTAAGATTTTATTTATTCATCAGAGTGAGAGCACAAGCGGGGGGGGGGGGGCGGCAGACATAGACACCTTTGAATGTTTCGTAGAATTCACCAGTGAAGCCAGGTGATCCTGGAATTTTGTTTTTTTAGGGGGTTTTTGATTACTGATTCAGTCTCCTTACTAGTGATTGGTCTATTCAGATTTCTGTTTCTTCATGATTCAATCTGGAAAGATTGTACATTTCTAGGAATTTATCCATTTTTTCTAGGTTGACCAGTTTGTTGGCGTATAATTATTCATCATAGTCTTCTTATGATCTTTTGCATTTCTGTGGTATTGGTTGTAATGCCCTTTCATTTCTGACTTTATTTGAGCTCTTTTTTCTTCTTGTGGGTCTAGGTAAAGGATTGATTTTTATCTTTTCAAAGAACCAGCCCTTAGTTTCATGGGTCTTCTTTATTGTCTTTTTAGTCTCTTATTTCATTAATTTCTGCTCTGATCTTTATTATTTCTTTCCTCCTACTAACTTTGGGCTTTGTTTGTTCTTTTTTTTTCTAGTTTCCCTAGGTGTGAAGTTAAATTGTTTGAGATTTTTCTTGAGGCAGGCCTGTATTGCTATGAAATTCCCTCTTAGAACCATTTTTTGCTGCATTCCATAGATTTTGGTATGTCATATTTTTGTTTCATTTGTTTCTCGGTATTTTTTTTCCTTTAATTTTTCATTCACCCTGTAGTTATTTAGTAACATGTTTAGTCTCCATATATTTGTAGTTTTTCTGGTTTTCTTCTGGTAGTCGATTTCTAGCTTCATAGTGTTGTGGTCAGAAAAGATCCTTGATATGATTTCAATCTTGTAGAATTTATTGAAACTTGTTGTGTGACCTAATATGTGATCTATCCTGGAGAATGTGCCATGTGCACTTGAGAAGAATATGTATTCTGCTGCTTTGGATGGATTGTTCTGTACATACCAGTTAAGTCCATCTGGTCTAATGTGTCATTTAAAGGTGAGCTTTCTTTATTGATTTTCTGTTGGAAAGACCTAATATTTTAGGGGCTTGCTTGGTACTAGTAGCACTCCCATACAACCACCACAAATTGTTCAATATAGTATTAATTTATGTTATACATAATTTAAATTAACAGGAGTTTCTGCTTTGTGCCAGACACTGTACTAGGCACTGGCAGTACGTCAGTATGTAACACAGATACAATCCCTGTTCTTACAGAGTATATGCACTAGTGAAGATATTTGAAACTGAGCAGTTTCAGGTCAGTGTGATAAGTGGTATAAGGGAAGGTACAAGTGCAAATAGCGGGGGCTACTTATTTACCCTGGATATGTCAACACTGGGTAGGCTTCTCAGGAAGGGGTGTCTAAGGTGAAACCTGAAAAATAAAAAGTTAACCAGACCTATAAGAACAGGTTAAGGGCTCCATGCAAAGGAAAAACATGTGGAAAAGGCCAGAGGTATACTACATATTCTGATAAATACCAGCAGTTTACTTTCTATGACTAGAACTTAAAAGTACTAGGGGAATTATGGAGCTGTAAGAAAGTTACAGAAAGTCTGGAAAACCACACACTAAGAAGTTTGGGCTTATGCTGTGGCCAGTAAAGAGCCATAAAATCCACAGAAGGATTTTAAATGAGAGAGTACCATCAGATTAGATTTTTAAATGTTTTTGCTGCCTTACGAAGAATGGATTGAGAAGGAAGGAATGTGTGTGTGTGTGGTGGGGGAGAGACTGAAGACTGGGGACCACCAGGGACCACTGTACACCAGGCCAGCAATGATAGTAGCATATAGAGCCAGAGTGAGCAAGTTCCTCTTCTCTTGAATTGCTCCAAGTCTGAAGTAAGTGAAATAGAGTAGCAGTGGGTCCTAGAGTTTCTGTAGCTGGACCAGGAATGGGAGTAGACATTCTCATTCTGAGCGATGGCTTCTATGAACTGGTATGTCCAGTTCTGATTCCATATGAGTCCGATGGAAGAAATCAAATGAGGCCCCTAGATACAAAATCTTGTACTGTATTATGATTTTATTTACCTCTTTGGCCAATTTATAACCTGTTCTATCCTTTGATGCTGTTCAATTGTGTTTTATTGGGGTTTTAAGCATTACATCTTAGGTAGAAGGTGTTGAATATTCTCTTTATGGTAATTTTTATGAAATTGTCTTTACAGGTTCAGAAAGTGCTTCTCCAGTCCATTCAGCTCTGGGATCCAGGTCACAGACACCTTCCCCTTCCACACTGAATATAGATCACATGGAACAGAAAGATCTGCAGCTTGATGAGAAGCTCCACCATTCTGTTCTTCAGACTCCAGATGACCTAGGCAATATTTGGAAATTAGATATTTGCCGTTTTTCCTTTTAGGGCATCAGTGTTAGGAGATCTTATTATTTAAATTATTTAAAATTTTGTTTTTGAGAGGGATAAGTTAGAGACAAATCAGTTGATTTATCACTATATAATGAAGGTTCTGTAGAGTAGGGAGATATTAACAGTGATGGTTAAAACTGCAGTGTTTTTTGTTTTATTTCATTGGTTTATACCAGACTCTTATTTTTTATTATTGTGAAAGACAATTTGGTAACTTTTTGATAATACAGTCAGTTATTATACACTTCATGTGGAAAGAGAAAAAAGTCAAACATGAGGCGTAAAGGACTTACGAAGAGTTACAGTGAGTGAACTTGTAAATTATGAGCACACTGAGATATTATCAAGTAGGAATAATCTTTACTAACTTAGTAATTATTTTGCCTTTTCCATTATATAAACTGAATAGAATAATGGATGTTTCTTAAGCTGGAGGAGATCTATAATGATATCTAGCTAAACCATCTATTTTACAGTGAGGAAGTGTAGCCTTAGGAAGGTTACTAAGTAATTTGTACAGCGTCACATAATTGAGAGAAATGAGGCTAGGATTCAAGGTTACCTATATTTCTTACATATAATCTTGCCAATTTTATTAAACAAAAGAAATATACTTATGGAATTTTAGATTATGTTTAAGTTTTAGTAAAAATGTTAATTTTCCCATGTCATTGTGATATCCCTTTTAATGCTAGGCCTGACTTAATTGTGAAATATATTTCTTTGGAAGTTGTAAGTACAAAGAAACAGGCTTATGAAGACTTCCTATAGGAACTGCCTTCAGCCTGAGATTTTCTATTAATTGATGCTATAACCTGAAGTAGCCATTTGATGAAAGAGGGAGTATGTACTTATAAATATGATCTTTAGATCAATTATAAATTTCTATCTGGTATCTGCATCATTTTCTCCTTAGGTAAATCCTAGTACAGGCGGTATTGAATAAATACTGCCATAAAAAGGAATTGTGAGCTTGTGAGGTTTTGATCTTATCAGGAAAAAATAACACTAATGCATATTGACTATTGACATTTTAAAAATTCACTTTTGTAGATATTTAAGTTTGTTATTTTGACTCCTTTTATTTTTGTGACCAATTCTTTAGAGAAATTACTGACACTAGTGTATTTTTTTCTACAGAAATCAGTGAGTTTCCATCTGAATGTTGTAGTGTGATGGCAGGGGGTACACTCACAGGATGGCATGCTGATGTTGCTACTGTAATGTGGCGAAGAATGCTAGGCATTTTGGGAGATGTCAACGCTATTATGGATCCCGAAATACATGCTCAAGTTTTTGATTACCTCTGTGAACTTTGGCAAAATCTAGCTAAGGTAAAAAAATAAATAAATAAAATAAAATAAAAAGAGGAGAAAGAAAGAAGAGTGTTAAGACGTAGAAGCCTTAGATCTCATTGCCACCCACCACCCCCCTTACTATAAACTGGTTCCTACCAAGGTGAAGTCACTTATCCATGTTTATATAATTAGTGCTAGGAACTGGAATTGAACTCAAGTTTAAGATAAAACTGGAAGAACACTTTTATTGGTTTGTTGCATTTTATTTGAAAATTACAGATTAGAGATAACCTTGGCATTTCAACTGATAACCTGACCTCCCCTTCACCACCAGTTTTGATTCCTCCACTGAGAATTCTTACACCTTGGCTCTTCAAGGTAAGCTTAATATATATATAAAACATTAATTTAAAAGATTCATTTAGTAAAAACGATGTAGTCAGTTTTAAACATTTGATAGACTCTTTAGCTTTTGTATAGTCTTCTAGAACAGTTAGTTTTTAACTAGTCATTGGGGGTTATATAGAGAGTTAAATGGGCATAGCAAAATTATACAGGTGCATCATTTTTACTTATTTAATAAAACAAAAATGAATATAGAATTATGTTTCTATTTAAGTGAAGTGTAAATCTCAAATTTGTGTCAGAATGTGCTGTATATTTTTAAGGATTTAATTCTTGGGGCACCTGGGTGACTCAGTCGGCTAAATTTCTGCCTTTGGCTCAGGTCATGATCCTAGGGTCCTTGGATTGAGCCCCCCATCTGGCTCCCTGCTCAGCAGAGAGTCTGCTTCTCCCTCTCCCTCTAAAGCTCCCTCTGTTTGTGCTCTCTTGCTCTCTCTGTCAAATAAATAAATAAAATCTTAAAAGATTTAATTCTTTTGAGTATTTGATATGTTTGGTGCATTTTCCTAAATGAAACAGTATGTGGTTATTCATACCTATGTTATTTCATTTTAATAGTAGTTTCAATAATCCTAATAATTGATTCATTAAGAAATTGGGCCAACGTAGAAATAAATGAAAACAAATATATTGCTTGCTATATTCAATTTAACAGTATTTGTTTTTGAGTATTAAAACCAACATTTTTGAATTGTAGGCAACCATGTTGACTGATAAATATAAACAAGGTAAATTACATGCTTACAAACTTATCTGTAATACAATGAAAAGAAGACAAGATGTTTCTCCAAACAGAGATTTTCTAACACATTTCTACAATATAATGCATTGTGGATTACTTCATATTGATCAGGTAAATATATACTTTCTAACCAATTGCTTTATAAATTTATCTTTGATTCTTCATTGTTTAACTCTTAGCTTTTAAGGTCTAGAATTAAAAATACTCTTTTATGTAGTCATTTTATTTACAAGTTTCTTCTGTTTTATAACCTCATTTGTTCTTGAAACGTAGTTGAAAAGCTGTTACAGTTAGGGAATCAACTTGTTTATTAAATGTGTCTTTCCTCTAAAGTTAAAGTAACTAGTTTGCTTTTTTAAGATATTAAGCCATCTTTTGCTTAGACAGACATGTTTCTTTAATGTCCTAATGTACTTATTCTTGGGCATTTTGTAATTGTTACTTAATAATTGGCACTCGAGGCATATGGATTTGCTCATCTAGTCATGCAACAGTCAGTAGTTTTTTCCAGTCTAAGAGTTAGTTAGCACATCACATTTTCTTATTTCCATAGATTGTATTAGCATAGTGACAGTTCTATTGACTTGTCATTTGTATCAGTGCAGTCATTACATTAGCCAATCATAAATATGACTCTAGAACATTACTTTAGGAGTCTTGATCCTGGCCATAAAATTAAAAAAAAATCTATGGGAGGTTATAAATCATGGTAATGAAACATTTTAATCATAATGTGGTTAAATTTCACTTGCAGTTCATTTAAAGAACATTAAACTAATATCAAAATAGGTAATTATATCTCTCTTCCCAAAAAATGAAAATACTTCTCACATTAATTTGAAATAGCACTTACAATGTACTACCTTATAAACATGTCTCAAACAAAATGACACCTTTAATTACTTGACAGAGAGACCTTTTGTTTAGGATGAATCAGATTGAGTAATACAGCATAAAACACTGCATCCTCATGTTGAATTCCAAAGGCAAAGTGAATGAATAACCAAGTTAAAAATACTCCCTCAATGGGGCGCCTGGGTGGCTCAGTCGTTAAGCGTCTGCCTTCGGCTCAGGTCATGATCCCGGGATCCTGGGATCGAGCCCCACATCGGGTTCCCTGCTCAGCGGGAAGCCTGCTTCTCCCTCTCCCACTCCCCCTGCTTGTGTTCCCTCTCTCGCTATGTCTCTCTCTGTCAAATAAATAAATAAAATCTTAAAAAAAAAAAAAAAAAGAATACTCCCTCAAAAATGCCTCGGTCTGTATTTCTGAGGCTAGATATTTGTCATCAAAGGACTTCAGTTTATCTAATGAGAATTCTTCCAGTTGCCACATAATAGGTCATGAAACTTGAGAGATCAGAGATCTGACATGGAAGCAAGTAGATGAGAGAAGGAACCACTCTGCAGTTCAGTTTTATGCTACGAAAGCCTTGTATTTTCAACGCTCTGAAGCAAAGAGCCTTCCAGTTTGCTCTCTAGTGTGGAAAAAAAAAATGCTATATTGATGTCAGTTAAACAAATGTGTTTTAAGTTTACTTTCCTTTGACAGAATATAATACTAAGCATGGATTATTTAGAAGATTTAAAATCAGACTTTCCAATTAGGCAATGTATAGTAATTGCCTATTTTACTGTTTCATATGTTATCTATTTTTAAGGATATTGATTAGCTGATACCCAAGATTAATTTAGGATATTCTTTTCCCCTTCTTTTCTTACTCCTAAGGATATTGTCAATACAATCATCAAGCACTGCTCACCTCAGTTTTTTTCACTTGGTTTGCCTGGTGCCACAATGCTTATTATGGATTTTATTGTAGCAGCTGGTAGAGTGGCTTCTTCGGCTTTTCTCAATGTAAGTTTTTATTTCCCGTTCTTCATAATATAACAGACTGTAGTTAAACAGGACTCAACTAACAAAGCAACAAAGGAGGAGCCCTTGTTAATAAATTTAACAAGCTAAGGTTCAGGAAAATTTACAGTTTTACTGAAGTTGCTTTTTTTTTAAGTAAATATTGAAATACAAGAAAGTACTAAAATTAGTTGATAAATTGACACATGAGCTATAAAAATGGATTAAATCTGATAAGCAAAACAAAATTTAAAAATTGAGGAAATCTAAGGAAACAAGTAGAGGGAGGGAAGAAACTAAAAAGAGGGCAGTGGGCCATAGCAAAAGAGATGGACCAGAGGTGAGATAATTCAAAAGTATGCTCTAGGAGTAAACTCTAAACTCTGAGACAGCATGTGAGGATTATGATAACAGTTATGGAGCTTTGAGACATGCCAAGTAACTCACTATAGTTGGAATATGTTCATATGTAACTAGAAGATAAGCTAAAGAGGAAGACAGCTAGTTTACTGTGCTAAAGAGGTTAGAGTTCATCCCAAGGAAAGAATGAGTAAGCATTGAGGGATTTTACACAAGCAGTGACATGATCAGATTTCTACTTGAGAAGGAGCACTCTGGCACAAAGTATAAATGAGAAATAACAATTAATTGAAAGTCTGCTAGAATAAACTAAGAGTTTTGGGGAGAGAAAAATCAGTCCTACTTGACCATCATTTTGTAACTTAGAGAGCAGTTTAATATATGTTATTTCACTCATAAGCTATACAAAAGACTAACAGTGAACGAGAAGGAGTTCTATTTGTGGTATAGAAAGCTGCCTATTCGAGATCCATGAGAATATGTTAGGAGGGCCATTGCATGTACAAGGCAGGAGCTCAAAGGAGATGTCAGGACTGAAATGGAAAGCTGGACGACATTAACTTATACATGTTATTGTAGGCCATGAAACTGGATGCAGTCACCCAGTGGAAATGTTCACATAAGGGAAGAACCTGTGTTTATAGCTAGTTATTAACCCTGTTTCTCCAGTTATGTAATAATAGCCATAACTAGTGAGAAAGACTGCATAGGAAAACAAGTTAAACCTGACACCTTGTCCCTACTGTAAGGTTGAGGTTAGTCTTTTCCTTTGGATGATGTTGGAAATACACAGTTCAGTCTTCCTCTTTGGATTCCATTTTAGATCCCATACACATCATCATCTTTCTGTTAATGGGTGGCTCCTTTCTTCCCCTGCCAGACAGATTACAAAATAATTGATTAGATTTTGCCTTTCTTAATTATAATCACATTACAGTATGCTTCCATTATATCCACATACCTGAACATTCTTAGCTACCTTATCCAACTTTAAAGAAAAACCCTTAGCTAATCTCTTTTAAAATACTGGTTTTGATCAGTTTCACTTTTTATAGCGAATTTTATTTTATTTATTTAAAGATTTTATTTTTCTAAGTAATCTCAACACCCATCGTGGAGCTTGAATTTACAACCCTGAGATGAAGAGTCACATGCTTTACTGACGGAGCCAGCCAGGCACCCCTATAGCTAATTTTAAATTGGCATGGTGTCTACAAGCTTACCCTAACCCTTTTATGGGGTTGTCTTTTTATCTGCAAATCTGGATTATTTTTTAAATATGGAAATGAGTTGTTTTGTTGATAATCATAATAAAGTAGTACTCCACTGCCTCTCCAATAACATTTAGAAACATAGGGAAATCCTTTTGGAGGCAGATTCTTGTTTTATGTGAATAAAAGTATTATATTTCTAGCAGATTTGTTTTAGCATGTTCTAGCATTTGTTTTAGCATTTAGTATTTCTAGCAGGTATCATTAAACATATAAATTAATATTGTAGGTATTTTAGTTAATAAAGAAATATATTAGTAGGTGGGTGTTGGTGTTTGGTGGACATGCAAGAAGGTAGAAGAAGAAAAAGAAATGCTCAGTGCTTATACTTCAGAGATGGCTTAATACAGCTAAGGAGAAAAGATGAAAAGTTACCTTCATCTGCAGGCCAAGCATAAATTCTGACTGTTTTTAGTAGGTAGTATAGGCATTGCTTTTCTCATGTGCTTATATAATATCATAAAAACCATCTAGACTGGTTGGTGCCTGTTTCTTGAAGAGACAGTTAATGTTTTTATCGTTAGTTACTTTATCTATCCTTAGATAGTAACAAATATAATCTAGTGACATTGAGTCATCTGCTCATTAGTACAATATGTTATGAAGTGTTGAGTTGCCTTTAAAATGAAAGTATTTATATTTTTTCTCAAAATTAGGGTAATTTTATGCTGTTAGCCAAGCTATATTATTATTTACAGTCAACTGTGGCTGATTTCTGCTTTTTTGCTGCTCTTAAGGAGAGCTCTGCTGTTTGTTCATTATATTTATTGAAAATAACAGTAGTTTATGTGGAAAGTATAGATGAAAACCTGAATGTTTTTGTATTTCCAGTGTCCTTTTTAATTTTATCTTTTGCTCTCACTTCTCTTTGTAATATGGTTAGGTCATAAAGTAACTTTTTTGGTAATTTAATGACATAATCAAATACATTATAAAGATTTTAAAAATCTGATACCTAGGCACCAAGAGTAGAAGCACAAGTTCTTCTGGGATCTTTGGTTTGCTTTCCTAACTTATATTGTGAACTGCCTGGTCTCCATCCCAACATTCCTGATATTGCTGTGTCTCAGTTTACAGATGTTAAGGTAAGAAATCAGATGCTGATTTTTAGTGTTTAAATGATTTTATAATAACAATGTATGATAAAATTTGTATTCTTTCTTTTCCTTTAGAAATCCACATAATTGTTAAAGAACATTAACCAGTCATACCCCTCAGACGCAAGGCTAGAATGTCCATTAGGAGCACAGTCTTTTTTGTATTGATAACTTTTTTGGAAACATTTTCTCATTACTGAATCCATTCATATATCAGTATCTTAGGATTCTTTCATTCACTCACAGAACATTTATTGAAACATCCTATGAGGCAGATACTATGCTACCTCTAAGGCTTCTAAGATTGAGATGGCACTAAATCTGCAAATTTGACACTGTCTCCTAATTTCCCCATGTGATATATCAAACAGTGTAATGGAATATTCTGTTTTGCTGTAGGAAACTGTGGAATTGGGGTGGGGAATCTATGTACCTGAAGCATAGCTCCTCAAAAGTCATGTTGATAATTTTTTTTTAAACTTTTGCCTTCTCTGAAAGAAATTTTTTCAATCCAGTTTTCTGGATTTCTGCATATACTTTTCATACCACCCATATTTCTCTTTATGACGTTTATAACGTGTAATTACTTGTTTAGTGTTTGATTTATGCTTCAGACAAACACCATAAAGTCTTATTTACTGCTATATCCTCAGAGCTTAACATGCTGCTTGGCATCTGGTACTCCAGAAACATTTGTTAAAAAAGTGAATTTCGCTTACACATAAAATTATGTAGGTCAATGCAAATTTGCAATGGCAGTTAATAAAAACATAGAAATTGAGCTCTGGTCTTCAGAGATGTAATATCTTCGGTTTCTTCTATTTTCAGAAGATCCTGAAGGTGAGGGATAGGTAATAGTTTTAATTTGCTTAGGCAAATTAAATTTAATTTTGTCTTTTGCTCTCACTTCTCTTTGTAATATGGTTAGGTCATAAAGTAACTTTTCTGGTAATTTAATGACATAATCAAATACATTATAAAGATTTAAAAAATCTGATACCTAGGCACCAAGAGTAGAGTTTGCTAGGGATTAGCCTAGCTAACTACATATGATCTACATTTCAGAGTGGCCTCATTGTCTTCTGGCCTTTGTATAGATAGTAATGGCTGAAATGATTTAAAAAATCAAACTTTGGGGAAGGGGTATCTCCAAAATAAAAGCTAATTCTAATAATGAAGAAAGCAAAAAGCCTAAGAAAATAATGAGTATTCTTAGTCAGAAAACTGGAGATTTAAGGGAAAATTACAGGCCATAGTGGTCATATTTAATTTTCACTGAAACTAGCTCTCTGTATATTCTAAACTGCAGCCACATAGCCACGTGGAACATACCATGCTGTTTTTCAGTTTTGTGCTTTTGAAAATGCATTTCTTTCTGCCTAAACATCCATTATATAGACCTGTTTTCCTCTTTTTGTCTCTCTTAATCACCCAAACACAAATAATCTTAGTCTTTGACCTTGATCATTTGTCAAAATCCTGTTTACCTAAAACCGTTTTGTGAAGTCTTCTATGACTTTCCGAAGTTTACCTGTTTGTTCACATAGAACCTTTTATGTGTCATCTTGTGTTGTGATTGTTTACAAGTCTCCCTCCCTCTCTGGAATGTAAACTTCTTGAGGATAGGTACTACATCTTAACCATCTATTTCTTTCCAGCATTTAAGACAGGATCTATTACATAGAAAGCTCTTGGGCTTAAACAATAGATTTGCTCAAAGTACCTATTAATTGCGAGCCAGTGGGCTAGATGCTAAGTTTACAAAGATAAGTCGAAGGTACTCCTCCTAAGGAGCTTACAATCTATGTAGCTGATAAGTGCTTTGTGAATTTATGAATGAATGAATGAATGATTTTTTTTAAAAAAGGAAGTAATAGAGTCTTAATTATCCAGCCTCGTGGCATTGTTTTCCTCTTAGTTAGCCACTGTAGTATTTGACCCATGTTGATATTCCTGACCTTCCTAAATCTTTTCAACTTTGACTTATGTTGCACAGATACATCTTGATTTACTTCTTGTTTCTCTAAATATTCTAAGACTCCTTAATAAACCAGTGTTCTTTCTCTGCCTGCTAAACATAAATTTACTATAAGACCCTCTCTTTAGATAATTACTTTCTCTTTATTCTCCCGTTTGAATACTTTTTTCATTCACATAATTTTAACTATTATTTAGCACTTATCCCCAAACTCACACATTATAATGTTTTACAAATTATCAAAAAAGAGGAGGCTTGCTTTTAAATAAATATTTCTCAGAGTTTTGAAAAGATACCCATACTTTTGAGCGAGTAAATCTGTTTTAATTATCTTATAGTGAACTTTTTATTAATCTTTTAATCAGGAAAAATTATTTTTTTGAACATGTATATTTGGTTATAAATTTCAGAAATCATTTATTTTAGCCTGTGCTGCTGTAACAAAATACTACTAAAAAAAAATACTACCAACTGGGTAGCTTATAAACAGCAGAAATGTATTTGTCACAGTTGTGGAGACTGGAAGTCCAAGATCAAGGCTCCAGCAGAGTGGCATTCTGGCGAGGGCCCTCTCGCTGCTCCAGAGCTGGTCCCTTCCCACTATGTCTTCACAAAGTAGAAGGAACTAAGGAGGTCTTTGGTGGTCTCTTGTATAAGAGCATGAATATCATTCATAAAGTCTCCATCCTCATGACCTAACATCATCTTTGGGAGATAGGATTTTAGCATAAAAATTTTGGGAGGGGAGACACAAATATTCAGACCATATTATTGTTTTTTTTATTTAGTTAATTTTATGAATAATATTGGACTCTGTTAATTAAAGTATTCAGGTGAGAACAAAGATTGTTTTATTTCACTGTTGTATCCCTAGCACCTGGCACAGTGCTTGGGTCCATAATAGCCATTTAATAAATACTTGAATGAATGAATGAATGAAATCTTAATCATTACAGGTATTTCCCCTTTATTTTAGGAACTCATAATCAAAACTGTATTAAGCTCGGCAAGAGATGAGCCATCTGGTCCTGCACGGTAGGTCAGATACTCTTTTTTTTTTTAAGATTTTATTTATTTGTGAGAGAGAGACAGAGATAGCAGGAGAAAGCACAAGATGGGAGGAAAGGGAGAAGCAAGCTTCCCGCTGAGCAGGGAGTGCAACACAGGGCTTGGACCCAGGAGCCCGGGATCATGACCTGAGCTGAAGGCAGATGTTTAACCGAAGGCAGATGCTTAACCGACTGAGCCACCCAGGCACCCCTGGTAGTTTTAATAGTAAATAATTTATTAGCATTAACACTATGATAAACTGAAAGAAGAGACTTAAGAATTTCTGATCCACTATGTTCAGGAAGAAAGATATTTCTGCATTGAATTATTCTGAAATTTAACGTTCTACAAAATTTACGAATGTCAGTATCAGGACATGCCAAGTATACCAGGATACTAGAAAGAGTTGACTTTTTTAGGAGTTGAGGGAAACAGTATGTGCTTCATCAGAAGCTTATACTTGAATACACTAATGAAATTTATATTGATTCTGATCATCAAATAACTCCCTTCAATTTGAAACTTCAGTTGAAATAGGGAAATGAAGTTTCACAAGATGTTAGGGAATAGAAAAAATTCTACAAGTTTCTGTTGGAAACCCTTTATAAAGCACATGAATTTTATTTGTATTGCCAGTTTGTTTTACAAAGAATTTGTAGCTGGGGCACCTGGGTGGCTCAGTTGTTAAGCGTCTGCCTTCGGCTCAGGTCATGATCCCAGGGTCCTGGGATTGAGCCCCACATGGGGTTCCTTGCTCCACAGGAAGCCTGCTTCTCCCTTTCCCACTCCCCCTGCTTTTGTTCCCTCTCTTGCTGTGTCTCTCTCTGTCAAAAAATAAATTTAAAAATTAAAAAAAAAAAAAAGAATGTAGCTAGCCGTGTTAAATTTAAGAGTTATGAAAATAATATTTAGGGGCACCTGGGTGGCTCAGTCAGTTAAGTATCCAACTCTTGATTTTGGCTCAGGTCATGATCTCAGGGTTGCGAGACTGAGCCCCTCATCAGGCTCTGTACTGGGCATGGAACCTGCTTAAGATTCCCTCTCTCCCTCTCTCCCTTTCCCTCTGCCCTTCCCCCCTTCTCTAAAAAAGAAGGAAGGAAAAGAAAGAAAATAATATTTGACTTACCCCATCAGCTTCATGTTTTTGCTAAAGTTTATTTTGTGCTGTCAGTCAATAAAACCACACTCTTTCCTTTTTTGAAAGCAGGTTACATATTTGTTTGGGAAGCTTTATGGCAATATCAGTTTATTAATATGGGTTTGTTAAAAAGATCCTGTGTGTTATCCCCATCTATGAGCTTGGTAGTAAATTATGTTTGAAAATTAGGCGTTGAATTTGGGGTCATGTGCTTTCCTCCTACTTTCTCTTCCTCAGGAAGAGCTAATGTACAGAGTAACAAATTGATTGATTCACTTAAACAGTGCATGTTCATTCTAGATTGGTTGGTTGTGGGTATTTTGGTTGTGGTGGTGGTTTCATTTCATTTAAAGCCTCGTCTACTTCTGTTTATATCATTGTTGGTTGCCCTTTTTGCAGATGTGTAGCATTGTGCAGTTTAGGTATTTGGATTTGTGAAGAACTAGTCCATGAGTCTCATCATCCTCAAATCAAGGAAGCTCTGAATGTAATTTGTGTTTCCTTAAAGGTAAAAAAAACCTATTTAATCAAATATATTAATATAGTAGAGAATGCAGGACTGGTTTTCTCCAAATGTTAATTATAAATTGTGTCCTTATAGAATAAAACATTTAATAAATGTTTTTATTACTTTATTATTACATTATTTCTTTGATCCTGACTTTTTCCTTCAGAGTGGTGCTACTCTTGAATTTAGGATATCCTAGTGATAACCTATTTTACCTCAGCTTTTTATGTCACTTAACAACATATATAGGGTTGTTTGTTTTTTCCTGATCAGTATTTTTGTAACCTACTCTTTAATCCTTAATACTTCCCTGAATTCTTGAGCTGTTCAATGTTTTGGCTTTATTATTCAAGTTAAATGCTCTCTTTGTAACCAGAGTAAGATTTGTTAAAAAATAATAACCTAATTACTTGGAGAATCTAACTGAGTAAATTTTTTGCTTGTGAAAGTATGCATGATATTATTTTTGTTTGACTTGTAATATAGTATCTGTATAGAATTCTAAACAAAAAGGTACAAATATTACTTATTGGACAAATATTTCTGAGTATGTACTATGTTTGAGGTGGTTTGCTAGTCAGAGTGAGGGATACCAGAATAAAAAATAATTGTAAATACTAGAGGCAAGCGGTTAATAATATGATGGCTGAAAAGGATTAAAATAAGAGTTTTATAAAACAGAAAGCTGAGAGACCCAAATGAATGGTGCATATGAAATGCTAATTGAGATCAGAGGAAGCCGAGATCACTTTGACTTAAGTAATAGAGAAGACTCTGGAAAGGAGACAGAAGAATGGGGGAGATTTGGTCATAGAGAGTTAAACCTAACAAGTTTGAGTTTATGCCAATGGGGAGTCATCTGAGAGCTTTAAGCATAAAGAATGTCAGCATCAGAGCAGTTCTTTAGATTAATTTGAAAGTGTTGGTATAGTAGATTGGAATGGGGAAACGATTGATAAGAAATTAGCAGTTTACAGGCTGTTGCAGAAATCCAGGTAACAGAAAATGGAATAAAACCTTAATGGGGACAAACATTCAAAATTAAAAAGTTAATTGTGTTTTTAGAATGTGTTATGAATTTTTATTTTGTGGCTGTGTATTTATCATCTTAATATTTTAATAAACGTATAGAATGACCAAAAGAAACATGTATGAAATTTCAAGTTTTTCAGCAGCTAATACATTAATGAATATTTTGTTGTTATTACAGTTTACTAATAAAACAGTGGCGCATGTAGCTTGTAACATGCTTCACATGCTGGTTCATTACGTACCTAGACTTCAGATTTACCAACCCGATTCTCCCTTGAAAATTATTCAAGTAAGTATTTCTCATGTATTATGACCCTGTTAAATATAATAAATTTATCCCTATACATTTTTAACAAGCACATAAAAAAACTTAATGAGCTCAAGAAATTTCCAGAGTAAATAACACATATGTATGTGCATATTTTGCCTTTTATTAATTATTTTTATTATTTCATATTTTTTATCAAATTTATTCATATACTATTCAGAGTATAATATATGTTAATTTAAAAAGCCACCATATGGGGTGCCTGAGTGGCTCAGTTGGTTAAGCATCTGCCTTCGGCTCAGGTCATGATCTCAGGGTCCTGGAGTCAAGGCCCACATTGGGCTCTCCGCTCAGCGGGAACTCTGCTTCTCCCTCTTACTCTCCGTCTGTGCTTTCTCTCTTTCTCAAATAAATAAATAAAATTAAAAAATACATTATAAAATATCTTTTTTTTTGATATTACCATATCTTTTATTCTGTATACATACATACAAAAAGCAATGACATGCATGTACAATTAGATGAATTTTCAGGTTACCAACACCAAGATTAATAAGAATATTACCAGAATTGCTTCAAAATAACCCTTCCTTTTTAAAGGATATTTTTCCTGGGTTCCAGATTCTTGGTTATTTGTTTCAGCACTATAAAGAACTCAATTCATTGTCTTCTAATCAAAAACTAATGATGTAATCTTTTTTTTTTTAAAGCATATATTTACCTATACACACACACACACACACACACACACAAGTGTCTGGAAAGATAAGAGTAGATTTCTTTTTCTTTTTATTTCCCCTCTTTTTTTTAAGTAAACTCTATGCCCAGTGTGGGGCTTGAACTCACAGCCCCGAGGTCAAGAGTCATATGTTTTACCAACTGAGCCAGCCAGGCACCCTGAGAGTCGATTTTCATATTTTCCCCCCCAACTTTACTGAGAAATAGTTGACATTGTATATATTTAAAATACAGAACATGATGATTTGGTAATTGTGGAATGATTACCAAGGTCAAGATAATTAACACATCAATTACCTCACATAGTTAACTGTTTTTTGTTTATGGTGAGAATGCTTCAGGTCTATTCTTAGCAACTTCCAGATATTCAGTATGATTAACTATAGTCACCATGCTGTACATTAGATCCTCAGAACTTACTGTTTTTATAACTGAAAATTTATACCCTTTGACCTACATCTCCCCATTTTCCTCTTCTCCTCCCAGCCCCTGGCCACCACATTTCTATTCTGTTTCTATGAAATCAGCATTCTTTTTTTTTTAAGATTCCACATATAAGTGGTACCGTACAGTATTTGCCTTTCTCTGGCTTATTTCACTTACAGTAATGCCCTCCAGGTTCATCCATGTTGTCACAAATGGCAAGATTTACTTTTTTATGGCTGAGTAATAGTATTCCATTGTGTGTATATATATATATATATATATATATATATATATACACACACACATTTTTTTGAATTCATTTATTCATTGAAGGGCATTTACATTGTTTCCATATCTTTGCTATTGTGAATAATGCTGCAGTGAACATGGTGTGCAGGTATCTCTTCGAGATACTGATTTCATTTCCTTCAGATATACATCTAGGAGCAGGATTGCTGCATCATTATAGTAGTTTTTTTTTTTTATCATATGGTAGTTCCAATTTTAATATTTTGAGGAACCTCCATACTGTTTTCCATAAAAGCTGTACCAGTTCACCTTCCCACCAACAGTGTATATCAGTTTTCTTTTCTCCACCTCCTTGCCAACATCTGTTATCTCTTACCTTTTTGAAAAAAGCCATTCTAACAGATGTGGTTTTTATTTGCATTTTCCTCATGATTAGTGATGTTGAATACCTTTTCATATACCCATTAAAATGCCATTTGGGGGCGTGGGGGTGGCTCAGTCATTAAGCGTCCGCCTTCGGCTCAGGTCAAATAAATAAAATCTTTAAAATAAATTAAAATAAGATTTTATTTATTTGACAGAGAGAGAGAGACAGGGAACACAAGCAGGGGGAGTGGGAGAGGGAGAAGCAGGCTTCCCACCGAGCAGGGAGCCTGATGCGGGGCTCGATCCCAGGACCCTGGGATCATGACCTGAGCCGAAGGCGGATGCTTTAACGACTGAGCCACCCAGGCGCCCCAAAATAAAATAAAATAAAATAAAATGCCATTTGAATGTCTTCGTTGGAAAAATGTTTATTCAGGTCCTTTGCCCATTTTTAAATTGGATTATTTGCTTTTTAGCTATTGAGTTGTATGAGTTCTTCATATATTTTATGTATTAACCCCTATCCAGATACATGGTTTGTAAACATTTTCTCCCATTCCATCAGTTGCCTTTTCAGTGTATTGCTTCCTTTGCTGTGCAGATGCTCTTTAGTTTGATATGGTCCCACTTGTTTACTTTAGCTTTTGGTGTCTTACCCAAGAATTCAATGCCAAGACCAATATCAAGAATATTTTCCATGTGCTCTAGGAGTTTATGCTTTCAGGTCTTTGATCCATGTCAAGTTAATTTTTGTCAGTGGTGTAAAATAGAGGTCCAGTTTCATTCTCTCTCTCTCTTTCTCTATATATATAGATAGATATAGATTCCTGAATTGAGTTTGTAAGAAATCCATTTATAGTTGACAGAGTTTATATGATTTTGGTTCCTATATACATATGAGGATTGTAAATGATTGATAGTTAAGAATACTTGAAAAGCTGACCTATTAAAAATTAACTTTGAAGTAACAGTGTTAATGTATTTAGGATTTAAAAATATACTTAAACTTTCATCAATAGATTTTTTTATCACTTTACCATTAACATTTAAGTTTTAGGATGCATCACTAATTTAACATATTTTGAACTTTTTTTTTCTTTGCTGACAGATTCTAATAGCCACCATTACCCATCTTTTGCCAAGTACAGAAGCTTCATCTTATGAAATGGATAAGAGGGTAATTTAAATTTTGTTTGATATTTAATTGGTTTAGTAAAATATATTTTAAAATTGCAAAGATATATATATGTATATGGTAAACATTAATTAATCTTGTGCTTAAAAATCCCTATAATATGAAATATATCTTTACATTATTTAAGTGTAACTAAATTATATTTTAGTTCAAATGTCCAGTTAATCATAGTCATTTGGTAAAGTCTTTGAATCTCAGGATTGTGGGGAACCTTAGAGGATATTCTGTTCATTTATAATTATTTCACTTTATCCTACCAATTATGGTCTTGTTTATGCCTGAAAATTAGTAATTCTGAGGAATTCATCGTTTCTGAAGGCAGCCATACATCTTTATATAACTGTTATTGGTAGAAAATAATGAAATTTCCATTAAGGAGAGTATGTATAATAGAGCTATGGCACATAGAAGAAGGCATCCCTCTGGCCACAAAAAATTCTACAGGATTGCATTTACCTCAGTAAATTCATTGTGAGACTCCTTTAACTATTTCAGATATTGTATTTGTCAGTCTAAAGTTTCTATTTGGTTTCTTTTCATAGTTTCCATAGATTTCCTGAAATCTGCATTTCTTCATCAGTAATATCTATCTTTTCTTTTAGATTTTTAACATGTTTATCATAATTATTTTGAAGTCCTCGTCTGCTAAATTCAATATCTGGGTTATTGCTGAGTCTGTTCCTATTGAAATCTTTTCCTCTTGACTATGGATTCCATTTTCCTGTTTGTTCATATGTCTGTTAGTTTTTTATTATATATTAGGCATTGTACATAACATGTTATGTACAGAGACTCTAGATCTTTGCTGCCCAGGATAGTAGCTACTAACCACACGTGACTTTAAATTTAAATAAAATTAAAACTTTATATTAAAAACTTAATTCCTTATTTGTGCTAACCACATTTCAAGTGCCTAATAGTCACATGGACAAATATATACCATTCCCATCATTGCACAAAGTTCTATTAATCAACACTTCTCTAGATTCTGTTCATTTCCTCTGAAAATTATTTTATTCCTTTCCATTTTCACATCCCAATCTTGCATTCTGTTCTCCAGATCTCAGTGTCAGCATCTCTTAATCGTATGGTGTTGAAATCTCAAAAGAGCAGAGTTGTTGGAGAAAGATGAATTTCAGTTTTCATTGTGTTGCATGTAAGGAATATTGCCCAGTAAAACCACCAGCAAAGCAACTCCATACCTAAAGTAGTAAATTTGAAGCTGGAAACAAAATTACTGGTATCATCAACACATGAGTACTATTAAACTATGGGAATATATATGATCACTTAAGGAGAAGTTACAGAGTAAGAAGAGTTATTAGCGAAGTGAACACCTTGAAGAATAACAGAGCAGGGGTCACCAAAATAGAGACATAGGAGGCTCCTGAATTTTCTTCCTCCTATGGATGCACCAAAGATACAACTACACATGGAGCAATTCTCTCTGAGAGAAATCCAGAAATTAGTTGAATGATCCTACACATCAGGCAACTGAGAAAATACCCACATCAAACTACATAGGAAACATTCTCATGATAAACCCCACTGTTGGCACACTCAGGAGAGAACCCCCAACTGCCAGGGTCTCTCTGAGGATAGAAGGGTTTAGACCACACATCTAGCACCCCAGCTTTTAAGTCTGCCATGCCAGGGATGGGCTTCCAAATCACCTGGCTCTGAAAGCCAACAGGGCTTGTATTCACAAGTCCCACAGAACTACAGGAAACAAAGGAACACTTGTTTAACAGGAGTGTGAGCACCTGCTATTGCTATTCCCCCAGCGTTCATCACAGAGGGAACAGGCATTCTTTCCCTATAAAGAATTTGACTGCATATTTTCCCAGCTGTTGCCTGAGGGTCCATCTTCTAATCAGCCTTCATCTAGGTGCTGACTGCAGTCCCCCTGGAAGCCCATTAGAACCAGAGGGCACTTCCCCTGTGTTCTCCCTGCATCTGGCTCCAATAATAAAACCAGGTCTCCAGCTTTTCCCTAGAAGGAACTTGTCAGCACTAGGTGAGTAGCTCCCAAATCACCTAGTTCTGGGAGCGGACGGAACTTGGCATTCATGAATTCTCTAGAAACACACAAAACAGTGGTGGTTATATTTGCACCAGCACTCCCAGCCACTGTTTCCTCTGGCTTAGCACAGAATGAGTAAGCAAAAATAGCCAGCTCTGTTTCTCTGTTAGGGGCTAGACTGCATAGCTAATATACCAACTTCCCTGCTGTTCCTGAAAGTCAGCCTTCCAGATAGCCTGCATCAGGGAGCCGAAGGGGTAGGCAATTAGTAGTACTTCAGGAACCTGAATAGGTATATTGGCGTTTCCCACCCTTTTAGGACACAGCTTGGATAGTCACAGAGGTTTGAGGGACAGCTAAGAGCTTGAACCAGGCTGCTATTTTACCTTTTCCAATTAATAAGTATCTTGTAGGAAGACACTTTGAAACTATATAAATATCCTATTATTCCTTAAACCTTTACTAAGTAGTTTTGCTAGCCATTGATAACTCTTACCAGAATTAAATGTTGTTATGATAGTTCCAAATGGTGATTTCCTGATTCTGTCATTACTTTTACATTCATTAGTTAGTTTTCTGTGATAAGGAAGAGTTTTCTCTTAGCCCTCTCCATCTTACCAGTGTGGGATCATGATTCTTCTTTTATGCAATGGATTATAATCCTTAGTTTTTTTACTGTCATTATTTCGAAGCTCAAAATGTTCCAGATTTAGCCAGTGGGAATGCCCTTTAAATTGACTTCTTTGTCCTTTTTGTTATATCCTCCTCATTGTTCTTTTAGTGTATCCTTAAATTCTGTCATCACAGAATTTTTCAGACTCATCTTGTATTTTCCCTGCCCCAGTACTGGAATTAGCCGTTTCCCCAAGTAACTCTGGTTCCATTGAGTGGAAATAGTATTCTCAAATAAAGATCTAGGAACTAGGTGTTTACATGGTCATTGGGTTGTGTGTGTGTGGTTAGGCCCTCTCACCAGATAGAGCAAGAAAATAAAAAATACACACAAATGTATAATATGTATTTTATGTATATATGTAATATATGCGTATCTGTATTTCTTTGTGTGTATTAAAACACCATGAGTTTACCTTGACACCTCTGATTCCAGTCCGGCACCACAAGGTTCAGTCTGTCTTCCCCCTTTACATATTTGTAACTACCTGCCCCAGTAATGAGAACCTAGCTCCCATTATCCACAGTCATCCACAGTATATTTACTTTGTGCAGTGTTAGAAAAATAAAAGCAGTTTCAGAATATATTTATGCCTGTATATAATTACCAAGAGAGTATATAGTTCAAAAGCTGTGTTTAAAAGTTATTTAGGTTACTTCTCCCTCCCCTTAGCCTCACTTCAGTGTGGTTATAGAATTCATTTCAAATATAGTTCAGGTTATTTTTTCAGTTTGTATTCCTAAATTTTAGTGTTTTCTCCCTGTTGTTTTTATTTGTTTTTTTAGTTTATGCTTTATCTATTCTTTATTTCTGTACAAATGAGCAGATACATTTATATTTTTTTCCACCTTGTTAAGAAATGTCATATTCTAGATATTCTTTGGTACTTGAGATTTTTTATTTACAGAATATCCTGGAAATTCACAATACATCAATTCATAAAGATCTTCCTTGTTCTTTTTTACAGCTATATAGTATTATTACTCCATTGTGTGACTATTGTAGTTTATTCAGCTCACTCTCCTATGTATGGATGTATAGTGTTTTTTCAGAATTTTGTAATTGCAAAGAATGCTGCAGTGACTGCCTTTGTGCCTGTATATTTTTACGTAATTGGAATGTGTCTTCAGGGTGTATTCCTAGAAGTGGAATTGCTGGGTCAGGAGGTAAACAGATAGGTAATTTTGTTAAATGTTGGCATTCCCAGAAGCAAATTGTGAGTGTGTTTGCCCAGAGTCTCAACCACAGTGTCTTATTTGGAAATTTTTGCCAGTGTGATGGGGGATCAAGGGCATCTCACTGTACTTTTCATTTACCTTTCTCTTTTAATAAGTGAAGTTGAATATCCTATTTACTAATGCCTAACTTTTAATTTTATTTTTGTGGATCATCTATTTATATCCTCTTCCTTTTCTTTTTTAAAAATTTATTTATTATTTTAGTAATCTCTACACCCAACATGGGGCTTGAACTCACAACCCCAAGATCAAGAGTTGCATGCTCCACCAATTGAGCCAAGCCAGGCGCTCCGTCTATTCATATCTTCTTATATTTTCTGTCAGGTTTTAGTGTTTTCCCTTCAAATTTTATGTACTAGGGATGTCTTAACTGTCATATATGTTACAAATATTTTCTTTTCTTCCCCCCATTTGTCTTTTGCTTTTGTTTCTGTGGACTTTTGTTATTGTTTCTTAGGGGGGGGGATCATGGAAAACATCAGTTTTTATGTAGTCGATTTATTTTTCATTGTCTGAATTTTCAGTCATAGAAAGCCTTTCTCTGTACCTGGATAAAGAGGAATTCACCCATGTTTTCTTCTAGTGCTTGTATAATTTCATTTTTTACATTTTTATCCATCATCCATTTGAAGTTTATTCTGTATGTTTTGAGACACAGATACCATTTTTGTTGTTTTTCCAAATGAATAACCAGATTAAAAAGTTCTGTTTTTCCCTTTAGTGAATAGTCAATTTCTGAAATTACTTGGGTCTGTTTCTTAAGATTCTGTACTATCAGTTCTCAGGCTCTTTTGGTGACAAGATCTCTTTAATACTGTTAAGTATTATTGAAGATCTCAAATGAGTTTTGTTCATATGGATTATATAGGCATACCTTGGAGGTACTTGGTAGTCTGTGGTACAGACTACCACAGTAAAGTGAATAACTCAGTAAAGCAAGGCAAATGAATTTTTTGGTTTCTCAATGCATATGTGTATAAAAGTTAGTTTAAACTACACTATAGTCTATTAAGTGTGCAGTAGCAATATGTCCCCCCAAAACAGTATA